CCGAGAGGTAATAGGGATGAGGGTACGGCGAGGTGAGTCCGAGCGGTCACTCGAAAGGCGAACGGCGAGGGTCGCGTCGCGCATGTGACCGTGTCACTGGTGATTGATTGATCGAAGTTCGCTCCCGTTCAAATCCCAAGGTTGGAGCAAGATTTTCTTGTGAGTCAAGAAAGCATCGCAAATCGCAAATCGCAATACACAATACGCAAAAAGCGCTTTCAGTCGGTGTTGTATATGGTGTATATGTACATATTGTTTGATCGCACACCCATGCGGTCGCATGAGTAAGTCCCAAGTCACGATCATCATTACATAGTCTCCGTTGCTGACCAAAAAGAGATAGTACTCTCGGTTTTGATCATTACATGATATGGGCGACTCGTGCTTGAGTACTCGTTGGTCATCCGAGTGCATCTGCAGCAGCTCGAGCGATGCCGTAGCTAGACGAGTCAGAGTCCTGCCGAGAGGGAGACGTACAGTGGCGGCTACCTCCGCGACTTCTAACTTCCACGACGCTGCCCTGACTCGGACGTTTGACACAGACTCGGCAGTGATCAGGCAATGCGCCGACCGGGCCACGCGTATGCACTCAGATCGCCCGTATATAAGGCCAGGGTAGCTCTACACCAGACAGCCCTAAGCCTCTCATCAACTAAATACCGAAAGTGACTTCTCAATGGGTAGTACTTCGCCGATCCCCGTTCTCATTGTAAGTAAGTATCAACAGTCCAAACTCCAAGCTGATCGCCATCACACAGGCTGGTGCTGGGCCCACTGGGCTTGTTCTGGGACTGACCCTCCTTCAGAATGGCGTTCAAGTTCGGATCGTTGACAAGGACCCGAAACGCCATCCTGGACAGCGAGGTTCTGGCCTGCAGGTGAGCAATACGCGCATGGTACATGGCGTTCGCTTACAGGCGGACGTGCAGCCGCGTACACTGGAACTGTTCCACTTCCTCGGCGTTCTTGACGACGTGCAGGCCAAGGCATTGTCTGTCATGCCGAGGCGCGAATACAAACTACCAGGAGGGACAGAGACGCTCAAAGTGGAGACGATAGCTCCCATCGAGGATCCTACCCCCTCAACCCCTTACGTGAGCTCGATCGCCGATATGCATCCTTTCTGCTGACCCACACTGCCTCGCAAGGTCAACGCAAGTTTGCTTGGCCAGTACAACACCGAAGCGATCCTTCGTGCGCACATCGAACGTCTTGGGGGCGCTGTAGAGTACGGGACCGAGCTGCGTAGCTTTGAGCAGCATCCAAACCACGTCGAAGCAACGCTTGTCACCAAAAATGGCGAGAAAGAGAAGACCGAGACACTGACATCCCACTGGCTGGTAGGCACGGATGGTGCCCGAGGTAAGCTATCTATGTCCCCGAGAATGTCGTGCACTGACGCGTAATGCTATAGGCATTGTTCGCAAGCAACTGGGCCTGTCTTTCATTGGAGAGACTCGTACGGACGGAGCTATACACTTGCTCGGTCTGGTCGAAGTCCAGGGACTTGACGCAGATGTGGGTGTCCAGTCCAGACCCAATCCGCCTTTCTGTCGGGTTTGATACAGAGTTCGCTGACTGGCCTCTTGGGTAGCACTGGCACCAGTGGGCAGAAATGCTTAATGGCGGGTGCGTTGTCGTGGACTTGCAAGAGCTTACGGCTCTCTAACTGCTCCGTTCGACAGCCTTATGTTAATCCCCACAGAGAGGACCGGATACTTCAGCTTCTTCCTCGGACGGGTGCAAGATGTGGAAAAGCTGTTGGTGGACAGAGACGCACTTGTCGAGACCTTCCTCAATCGGGTTGAGCGACAGGACTTGGTGTTCGGCAAATTCGAGGCGGTCTCGCCATACAGGTCAGTGTTGGATAGGACGTTTCTCATGACAGCTTATCATCGTTCGTTTCGATGCATAGACCGAACATTCGCATGGTGGACAAGTTCGGCGAAGGCCGCGTCTTCGTCGCCGGAGGTAAATCTGGAGGTTGCTCCTGAACACGACGAGGCGACTAACACGCAACGTAGATGCGGCACATGTTCACAGCCCAGCTGGTGGCCAGGTAAGTCGGATTGCGCGCCTCCTTTGAGGTCCGTTCTACCAAGGCTAACGTCGTTTCTTAGGGCTTGAACTCCAGCGTCCAAGACGCGGTGCGCACTGCAATCTAATCACAATGCTCTCCCAATTGACGGATCCCTCCCAGTTCAACCTCGCATGGAAACTCACGCTCGTCAAGAAGGGCATCGCCTCTCCCTCCCTGCTGGCCACCTACACCGAGGAGCGCCTTCCCGTCATCGCTGCAATGCTGCAGAAGAGCACGAAACTCTTCGAGGCCTTGCAGAAAGGTGACACAGAGCGCGCCTGGAAGCGTGGCGGCGACCTCAGGATGCTCGGCGTGAACTATCGCTGGAGCTCCATCGTCGTGGACGAGCGCACGCCCAAGGCGCAGTCGCCCGAGAGCGTCAATCCCTATGGCTCGGGCACCGACGGTGATCTCAGAGCGGGCGACCGTGCGCCTGACGCACCCGGCCTTGTGAATGTTGGCACCGAGGAGGCCGACGATCCGACGTCGCTCTTCAGCGTGTTCCGCCCTTCCCACCATACAGCGCTTCTGTTCAATATACCTGCCGAGGAGATGGAGCAAGTACTCAGAGTGGCGCAAAAGTATCCGTCTGGCTCTGTCAAGACGGTGTCGATTTACCCTCAGGGCACGTCGAACCCCAGTGTCGTTGGACGACCAGACCTTGCGGTAGCCGACAGGGACGGCCATGCGTACGCAGGATACCAAGTGTCCCCGGAGAAGCCGACGATCGTGATCGTGCGTCCGGACGGGGTCGTTGGAGGGATTGTCTACGGTTTGTCCGGCGTCGAGCAATATTTCAGAGGTGTCTTCGACGCCACGGGCGATGCGCTCTAAGTAGTGCGCTCAGATATGATATTCACCGTCTAGACCATGTGTACCATTAGTAAGCATTATCATTATACATCCCAACTCCGTACTTCCAAGTCCATATGCATATGAAGCAAGCAACCGACATGCAGTGGTGAGTATCCCATGATAGAAAGCACGACAGCGTATACGAGCAACAGCGTACGACATGATGGTGATGATGAAAGTAATATGCAGCAGCAGAGTCTACTCGGATTTGATCGGTGTCGCATGAGTTTGCTGAGACGGCGAGACCTTCGGCTCGTCGTGCATGTCAGCATCCTCCTCCGACTTGAGGTGCTTCACTTCGACGACCTCCGCATCAAAATCGACATCATCGCCGCCGTTGTCATACTCCAATTTTGGCTCCGGTGTCTCTGGCTCGGAAGACCCCCGCTTGCGCTTCCGACTCGCCTTCAGAGTGTCCGAATGTTTTGACTTTCCCCTCGCCTTTCCCTTCGGCGGAGTGAAATATTTGTAGTTCCTCGCGAGGACACGTTGGAACTGGATGTCGTAGCTGACGCACTTCATTGCCCATACACCGATCGCCTATGGTGGTGTAGTAGAGCAGCTTAGTATCAATGTGAACCTGCACACCGCGAAAGACAAATCTCACCTCTTCGCCTCTCTCGTATGCAGCAACGATATCTTCCCACGTGACCTTGCGGCGTGCTGCAACTACACGATCTTTGTCTTCGACGACCGCAGAGATCTCATCCCTGGATGGTTCTCTGTGGTGTTCCTTGCGAAACCCCACCCTGAACATAACAACATCTCCCCAGGACTTCTCGAGGATGTCCTGCCCCCACGTCCTTCGTACCTATGCAAGAACAAATCAGCATTTAGACGCCCTCAGAGGACATCTATAGCCGAGAGACTGACTGCGAGGGGTTGAAGAGCAAACTCATCTGAGGTCAGAGACTCCGAAACGTACATCCGGTACTGACCCATGTAACCCCAGAGTGCAGGTTTGTCTTGCACCCTCACGAATACACGAAAGATACTGCGTTCGAAATCACCTTCACCGTCAGCGCGCCTAGTTCCGAAGAACAAGCCGGGGTCGCCGGGGTTGACCGGTGCGTGCGGGTTGAGCTCGAGGACAAGACACATAAAGTCGCTGAGCAGGTGAACTTGGGCCTTCTGTGGTGCCGGGTGGGGAAACGTGTCGACGAAGCTCCCTCCGTAGAGGTTATGCAAGTAGTAGCGGTTAAACATGAACCTCAGCGTCGGCTCATCGAGGTCTATTCGATACGGATCCAACCCGACTACCTTCATCCGGTCCGCCACCGTCTTCCACGTAAACTGCGAATCTTTCTTGATCTTGGCGATAGGCTGCGCGGAGCTATAAGCGGTACAGATGGCATAGTCAGATCAGAATGAACTCACATTCCTGAGTCGCAGAACAGCTTCGTGCTGTTGTTCGTCCGTCAAGTCGGAGTAGGTTCCAGGTGGTGGCAACTGGACTAGCCAGTCATCCTCAAGGGGCTCTGCCTTTACCGGTATGCCCGTGTCTAAACAGTACGTTGTGAACATTGTCCTCACCTGTGCTGAAGCAACTGTATCTCATACGACTCACCAGCCTCCTCACGCTTCGTGGCAGCCGCCTGCGCTGCCTCTCTGCGCTCTATCTCAAATCGCTCGACCGTCGGCACGAGGATGTACCACTGGGAGGAGGGCCGCGAAGCCCTGGGTAGCTGAGCGGAACCAACTTGAACAGAGTCCTCCTCCTTCGTGGGCAGTCTATATACCGCGCCGAGGGTGCTCTCCGCGTCGAACTGCACGCGCTCGGAGGAATCAGCTTGCTCGACCTTGATCGCGCGCTCCGAGTCGTCGGACATAGCTGCGGTCGTAGAGAAGGGGGAAGCGGAAGGCGGGAACAGTGCAGCACAAGACGGAGGTCGGTGCAATTAATGGTGGCAAGCGAGCGTCACTGTGGCAACCTCAACGACGCGACGCGACGCGACTCGGAGGACGAGCGTCACTTGCTCTACACGGTCACGGTCCTCTCAGAGGTCATGCAATCTTGTGATCAAATGTACGCTCCTCCGCATTCAAAACCTGGCATCAAGGTTTCGCAGTATCAAGAGCATGCATTACGAGTTACATAGATCCAGTACCAGCAATAATGCATCGGACTTGTTCGACCCTCGACGTTGAAACGTTGACGCGCGACAGAGGGCCCAGGGGTCGTCCAAGGATCGTCACACTCTGAGTGTCCAGTCGGTTTCCTCCAAGTACCAAAGTAGACAAGATCTGTCAGGACGCATCGTCCGGCCTTCCGACGTCTTCGTGCTGCCGTCCCTCCAGCTCCCCGCCCCCACTGTTGCCCATCGTCTCCGTCCGCCGCGTACTCAGCGACCTGACCAGTCGCTCAATGCGCTCCCTGCTACATGGCCCACCGCACCCAGACCTCGGTCGTCGATCCATTCGAATGCATGACGTGGAGAATATTCTTCATGTTGACAGAGGCGAGATCTGTGCCCCCTTCAAGTTCATTAGACCGGCTTGCTCTCCGAACGACGATTCTGGGTAGGGCGAGGAGACGTTTCCCGTAACTTCTGCTCGTTGCTGGCCTTGTCTTTCCTGGCATCCCGGGCGTGGTTTCTCTGCAGGTCGTTAGTCGACCCATCCGGCGCGTCGAGCAAGTCATGGAGGACTTCCTCGTGAGGGTTTCAAACCGATCGCAACAGAATACTACAACGCACCTTCTCTGTCCGCGTCGCCTCTCCAGAGAGCAGCTATACCTCTGTGTTGCCAATGCGATCGGCGAGTTGGGTGGCGTAGGCCGTGGAAGCAGAAGCCGGTTCGTCGTAGGAAAGGCAACCCCACTCACGTGCACGTCTGAGACTCCCGGGTGATATCCACGACCGAGGAGGATACCCGAGAGACGAAAGGAGCGGCAGAGTCGATCTAATTGAGCATGGCAGTTGCCTCGGGAGGCAATCAGAGGCGAATACGGTGATGAGGCGACACTATGGCGTATCCTGTCATCCCTGATAACTGACGAACGCCGACACGACGAGGGGTTGGACGGGGCACTTGGATGGTAACGCACATACCAGTGTAAGTACACAGTGACAGAGCCAGAACCAGGCAGCCTGCACGAGCTCATCGCGGGGCCAGAAGCGAAGCCTGGTGTGACTTCGATCGAGAGCTGCATTGGCCCATCGACGGTTCGATCAGGGCTTATCAGACTCGCAGGACGCCTCGACCGCGGACACGTCAACGTCTTCCGGACGGATGCATCGAACGCAGAGCGAACACAGATTGCCCCCGGGCATTGTCTGTGTGGGCAGACAGTAGCATGGCAGACTGGACAGCTGAAACATGCGGTGTTGTTTCCGAGCGAGGACGGCGAGGAGGGAGGCTGACGGAGGCATCGGGGGATCTAAATGGCGGGCGGTCAGAGTCTGGACGGGGACGACAGGCAGGAGCCACGTTCCGCGAGCGAAGACCAATACACTCCCCAAGCGAACATCCCCCGCCATCACCCGCCTATAAACACGCCTCCCCACCAGCTTCCCCCCGCCCTCCCCTCCGGATACCCTCCCGCCCTCCTCAACCCGTCTGCGCGTCGTCCAGGTGAGCGTCTTCCACCCCGCATCGAACCACGCGCTTATTCATCTCACCCGCCGCTCCGCGCTCCATGTCATCCCCAGACTCCAGCATCCGCTCCCTCCAGCAGCAACCTGCTCGCCCACACGCACTCCCCGCGCATCCAACCACCGCCAACTGACCGCCAACGCACCCGCACACAGCACGACCCCCTAACTCGCAACTGATCAACGACTCTGCAGAGCGGCGATGGCCGAGCAGGCACACGAAATCACTTTCCGGTGGTGAGTGCGCCCCTCCTGCAGCCAACCGCACCCGCTCACAGGCACACCCAGGCCCTCCACCGATGCCCAGGACGTCATCGTCACAGGCTCCTTCGACGGGGTGAGTCCCGTCTCCCCGTCTCCCATCCGCACTCGCTGACGCACCCCCTCCCCCGTACCGCCCTGACCCCGCGCAGTGGTCGAGCTCGACCCACCTCGCCAAAACGCCCGCGGGCTTCGAGGGCACCGTCCGCGTGCCCTTCGGCACAAAGATCGCGTACAAGTACGTCGTCGACGGCCGCTGGACCACCGCGGACGGCCAGCCCACCGAGCTCGACCCCATCGGCAACCTCAACAACGTCTACACCGCCCCGCCCGCGCCCGCACCCGCACCCACACCCGCAGCAGGCGTCGTGGACACGGTAAAAGACACGGTCGCGGGCCTCGCGCAGACAGCGACCGCCATGGTCGAGGCGATGGCGCCCTCCGTCGAGAGCCCGGCCCTCCCCACAGAGCCAGAGCCAGAGCCGGCAGCAGAACCGGCCCCCGCACCAGCCGACTCTGCCCCTGCCCCTGCCCCTGCCCCTGCACCCGAACTGTCCCCAGCAAGCGAGCCGTTCACGCCGGGGACCGTCCTCCCGCCCTCCGAGCTCGCCGCGCCGCACCTCGCGCCCGACGTCCCCATGCACATCCTCCCGCTCGAGCCGGAGCCCCTCAAGCCGACGGTCGTCGAGGGCTCCGCGCCCGCGCCCGCGGTCAACGGGAACGGGCACGCTAACGGGCACGGAGCCGGGGAGAACGCGCCGTCGACGCACGAGGCGGCGGGGGCGCCGTTCGTGGGCGAGGCGAAGCGGGAGGGCGCGATGGAGGGCGAGGGCGACGGCGGCGTGACAGCGGTGGAAGCGGCGGCGGAGCAGCCCGCGCCGAACGGTGCGGCCACGGAGGCCGCGCCCGCGCCCGCGGTGAACGGCCCGTCGGCAGAGACGAAGCCCGCGGCGAACGGGAACGGCACGCCCTCGCCAGCACCAAGCGGAACCACGCCCACCACGCCCACGACGAACGGCACCCCCGCGCCCGCGCTCGCGCCCGCCTCCCCGCCCACAACCCCCACCCGCGAGAAAGAAAAAGAAAAGCCGAGCCGGATGCGCTTCCCCTCCCTCTCCGCGCGGCGCTCGCAGCGCTCCGCCTCCAGCGCGAACACCTCGCTCACCTCGCTCGGCGACTCCGCCACGCCCCCCGCCACGCCGCAGTCGCCCAGGACGCCGGGGACGCCTGGGAAGGAGACGCACGCGAGCAGGGCCGCCGCCGCAGGGGGGACGGTGCGCCAGAAGCGGACAAGCATCTTCGGGAAGCTGAAGGGCATCTTCGACGCGCCGAACGGGCACGGCAAGGCGACGTCGAACGGGGCGTGATCGCGCGTGGCCGCGGGTGGATGGTGGATAGGTGGTGGGTGGTGGGGATAGATGCATATGTCTGGGCGCAGGCCCGGCGGGTTACGACTCTTTTATGCCTGTAGATAGTGTTCAGTTGGTCCGTGTTTCTTGGTCTGCCGTGCCTCTCCAGTTTGGTTAGCCTCTTTGCAATCGATATCTCCGTAGGTAGTTACATCTTTTACTCTGCTCAGTGCGTCCGCGTGTTCTCGCTGAACAGGACACGCACACATGGTCGGACGGGCACGTCAATCATAGCGTCTCGCCGTTGACTGCAGGTGTAATTCCCGTTGACCGAGAGCGAACGATGCGCATCTGCGAAGACGAGTCTGAGAGAAGATCATTAGGGACGGACGTGCGTACTGGTTACATTCAGGTCATACAGAAACGTCAGCGGAGCGCGAACAGGTTTGCCACACTCAGAGAGCATACGGGGGCACGAAAGACGAAAGGGAGGCAACGAAGTGTCCGAACGCAGCACTGGCGAAGAGAGGGAACGAAAACGGGGCACTACAGTAAACGGCGAGTCCAAGAACGAAACCCCGCCGACCAGCCAAACAGACCGCTCGCGACACCCGAGGCTACGCCTTCCCGCCCTTCTTGTCCGCCTTCCACTCCTTGAAGATCCCGTCCAGGCTCTTGTACAGCAGGTGCGACGGCAGCGAGCGTATGATCTCGCCGACGCGCTCCTCCACCTCGTGCTTCCCGTTCTCCGGCGACACGCGCTTCGCGTACTCCACCGCGAGCCGGAAGACCGCCAGCACCGCGAGCGAGACGTGCGTCTGCTGCGCGCCGTGCGCCGCGCCCGGCGAGAGCGCGGTGAGCAGCGGCCCCGCGAGGTTCGGCGACGCCACCGCGGGCGTCGCCTGCTGGAAGCCCGTCCCGGACCGCTCGCCGCGCACGAGCCGCAGCAGGATCTCGAGGATGTTGTCCGTCTCCGTCATGTGCGTGCGCAGGAAGCGCTGCCGCTCCGTCTGCTGGCCGATGTTCGAGTTCTGCGCCCACGTCTCGAGCACGGTCCAGATCGTCGGGGCCTGCGGGCGACGTGAGGGTGAGATCGGGGATGGAGAGGATGAACTTGGACGTACGGGGTCGGGGTCGACGACCTGGATCTTCTTCTCCCAGCCTTCAGCTGCGTCGCCGGCTACCCAGAACATGCGGCCGAACATGCTCTTCAGCCACTCGTGGACGTCGCCGGACTTCACCCAGCGCGGCTCTGACAGCGGGCGTTGTCGATCGAGGTGCACGATCAGCGTCACCTTGGTCGGAAGCGCGGCCTTTGAGAACGGCGGCACCGTCGGATCAGCTTCTACATCTTCCGACATCTCGAGGGGCAGGTATGATGCGACCGACTCAGAGTAGGCTTCCATCTATAACAAAAAAAAAACATGAACACAAGACTGAATCATGCAGAGATGTACGCGCCATGATACCCTTGTATCCCCCAGCATCATCTCTTTCGACGTTGATGCACGCCTCTATACGAGCCTCGGCTCGGAATACTTTCAACGAGTCGACGATCTCAGCGTCAATCACCATTCTACGCGTGCCCCCAGCGTATGCAGCGGAGAGACGGTTCGCAGACGCGACACGGCCAGCCTTGCTGGCTTGCGAGCTAGACGGATCGGGAGCGTACGGACCCGCGTTGGAGAACGAGGATTCTTCGCCCTGATACGGAGCGTCGTCCGTGGGCTGCGTTTGATCCATGGAAGGCGAACCGGGCGCAGTGGCTTCGCGCTCCAAATTTTGGCCCTGTGCGTCTGTATCGGGCACGGTAGAGATGAGAGAATTCGTAGCTTGCAATGGCGCAACTCCAGCCTGAGCATCACCGTTGGGAGAAGTGTTAGTGGGACCGATAGCAGAAGACATGGATGCAGAATCCGCGGAAGCAGGAATGCCAGGAGACGCAGATGACGGTGCGGGTGCAGAACCATTGACAGCATTGCCAGACGGGTCTCCGGCCTCTGAAGAAGCGTTAGGGCCGCTGGGCACCGCATTATCTGGGCCAGGTGCAGCTTGTGAGTCGACGGACATACCGCCCTGCTCGGCAGACGGCGCATGATCATCATGCTGCTGTTCGCCTGAGTCGTGAGCACCCTCGTCGCCGCCCATGTGATACTCGTCATGACCCTCTCCTTGGACGTCATCATAGCCAGAATTGTCTTTATAATGAGAGAGAAGGAATCAGTGGTGCGAACGCAGCCGTTCGAGCGTGCTCCGCGTCCGCACTGCACGGGCCCGAACGAAAGAGGGAGCTTACCATATTCGCCCTCCGCGTCTGCATCAGGATCATGATACTCGTCGCCATTTTCATGGCCCTGCCCCTCGCCCTCCCCTTCTTCGCCGCCAATGGCAGCCATGAGCCAGTCGCCCTCGCTGGCTGTTTCCTCGACACTCGGCGCGACGCTATCGCGGCCGAACGCCGTTTCAGTCCCATCCACACTAGCAACGTCGTGCTCGTGTCCCATCTCAGACGAATGCGGCGCCGGCGGGGGAGGACCACGACCATCCTCGAGATCCCCGTCATCATCCTCCAGCTTTTTACGCTTGCCCTTCCGAGAAGTGGAGGGTTGGGCGTACGGAGCGTTAGAAGAGATGAGATGCGAATCGTCAGCAGTCACAGGTGTGTGGAAGTAAATGCGAACCCGCGACGGCGGAGGAGGCAATATGGCCGTCGGCTCCGACTTAATGGCAGAGGCCTGGCTAGGGCCGGAGACATCTCCCGACCCTGACGCTGCACCTGTAGCAGGCGCGTCGGGCGTGGCAGCTACAGGCTCTGTCTTGACAGGAGAATCGCCCGTGCTTTGAGCACCCGCACCTGCAGTAGACGAAATAGAAATCGGGACGTCCTCCGTCTTGACTGGTGCATCGGCAGCATCAGACTTTGCGACACTCCAACTCCAAGAAAGCTCGGATATCTCGAGCCCGACGACCTTAAAATCGGTCAGCGTGCGTCGATTCTCCTCCTTCTTACCAGACGAAAATCCGGTAGAGGTTACGCTCGCGTTGTCTCTACCGTGAGTTGCATGAGCATCATGCCTAGCTCCACGCGTAGAGTGCGTGAAGCCTTGATTGCGGCCGCGAAAGCTACCGTTGTTTGAGTAGCTGTTCTGGTGGTGTTGGTGATGATGCTGCTGCTGCTGCTGTTGGT